GTGTGTGTGTGTGTGTGTGTGTTTCGGCATATGTGAGCAGACAGCAAGTCTAGGGGGGGCTTTCTTATCCATTATTCATTCGTTATGAGTGTTGCTTCTTCATTCTTCTGTATGAATGGGTGAACATCTCACACACACGCACAGTATGTGCTTTATCAGATCTGGAAGTTCCAACAGTCAGACACCACTTTGCCATTTAACTGGTCTCAGGCGTTTGGATTGGTCTATATATATAAAAAACAAACTGCTGTGAGGATGTGGGTATTTAAGGAATTAATTTGATCTAAGTCTCCTTGTTGAGAGTGGTTGTTTTGTTCTTTCTTTATCCCGTCTTTTCTGCTCCAAGCTTCAAAACATCATGGGACTTGAATTTGTCAGACTCACAAATACGCTCTCACTCTCCATCTAAGCCTCACTCTGCCTATCTCTCTGTTATTTTCTCATACAGCCTTGCACAAACATGCACCTAAGCAAGACATGCCCGTTCAATACAGCTTCTTATCAGACACTCACACACATTTATTTTTGACATAAGGACTTCTTACGAGCTAAGCCCTGCATTGCTTGCTCACTATCTTCCTCTCACCTATCTGAGGACTAGAAAGAAGCTACCTATGAATCTCTGACAGTCAGCTCCAAGTTTGTCTGCCCTATTTCTGCACACACACACATAAAGCCAGGCTGCATGGCAGACAGGCTGGCAGAAACAGAATCAGTGTTAAAAGCATTATGCAGCTTTCCTGCAGGGAGGTTGAAAGCTGAGACCCTCTGAACCACTCATCTAGTCTAGACATCCTACTTTCAACACTCTGTGATCATCTGCTCTGGTCTGGTCTGCTGCACCCCAGCGAGTAAGCAGCACTCACAGCTTCAGATGGCTGAGGTCAAAACAAGACAACACAATGAGCGCCAGAAAATTACAGTGATGGTTTGTGGGTACCAAACTCACAGGATGTCTCTTGGGGACAGCAGAAGTCTAAGTATAGGATAAATAATTCCATACGATCTGTTTCCCAGGCTTTTCATTAAATAGTACGACCCTTAAAGGGTCAGTGTGTAAACAAGAAACTACAGTGGCCTTCATGTGACATACAATAGTCAAAGGCCACCCTCTCTAGAGGTAGTGTTTGGTTTGCTCAAATGAAAATATGCTTATGATAATAATTATGTTATATTCCATATATGGTAATAAATCCCCCTGAGCCCTACACACTGCACAGAATTCTAAATGTAAGGAAGGAAATAAACATTTTTTTCAACTCAATAGATGTTGAAACCCATGAAAATTATATATTATCATGATCATTTCTAAATCATGGGAACAAAACCTTCAATGCCACAGTTAATGCACTTAAATATGGCACTTCAACACTCAAGACACATAATTGCAGACAGGAATGTTTCAGAGCTGGTTCCTATTTACTTGAATGATACCATTCATCCTGAATGAAGTAGTTTGGGGTCAAAGAAACAACTGAAAATATTTTTTGAGCCTGTTGATGAACAGCTTTTATTGTTAAAAGCATTTCAAGATCATCTAGTTTGAAACCTAAAGATGAAAAAGATGCAGATGCACCTAAAAAAAAAAACTTTTACTAAAAAATACAAGTATGAGTAAGAAGAGAGGGAGATAGATACACTAGCTGCAGTAGATTTTGAAAGGGCTGCAAAAAAATTCCAGAGATGATTTCTTTTGTCATGAAAAGGTCACCACACAAAAAAAGCATCATCACTTAAACTCCTTCTGGTACCTTAACTGAACTTTAAACTTTGCTTTCACCAAAGTGTTGTTGACTTGACTCACTGTTAATCCTATAACCTCACCCACGTTCTGAAAATTTGCTGAAGAGAAAAATTAGGACACGTAAATCTTTATTACATTAGGATTCTTGACTCAGTGAGTGAGTCTAATTTGCTTCTGTATACAATAAAGATCTAGAGTGGTGGTGGATGGGCTCTCAAGGTGGCGTATGTGTGTGCGTGTATAAGTGCATGAGTCTTGGTGTGCTCCATTAGGACGCAGCTAAAGTGTATCTCAAACCCCCCACAGTCTGGAAATGCTCTCCCGCAAAGAACCACAACCCCCCCTGCAATGTGCGCACACACTTGCACACACAAACCTCTCCAACAACTTTACCACAGCTTGTTATGGTTAGCTGGCATATGAGATACAGAGAGAGACAGAGAGGAAAAGAGAGAGGGGGGGATAGAGAGAGAGCATCTGTTATATATAAGATTGATTGAAAAGTAGATGAATGAGTTCCATTAACACTCAGAAAAGAGAGAAAGCAACAGATTGATCTGATCGTTTAAACAGACTTCATATCATAGATTTGCCAGAAACCAGAATCACATAAGAGACAACTTGTTCACACCCTCCTCTTATATCCCCCGTGTGTTTGCTTTATCTTTTTTGTCCTCTCCTTCTTGTTTCTCTTTCCGACTGCCTTCCTCACCCTTTGCTTCTCCATCACCACCCACCCCTTTCACCCTCCTA